GAGAGAGAGTAGAGGAGAGAGTAGTAGAGAGAGAGAGAGAGAGAGAGAGAGGTGCATAAATTTGGAAGGAACTCGGTATGTATACGTAGAGGTATGTCGTATGTACGCGAGAGATGAGCCTTCTCTCTACCCGGTAATGAAATTCCCGGATTTTGACTCTCTCTCTCTCTCTTGAACGACTCTTTCTCACTCTAAAAAATTTTCCCTCTCTTTTATCTTTTGATCGTTAAGTTTCCCCTCTTTTTAAATAAGTTTCCTAAATTTTAAAGGAATTTTACTACTTTTTTTTCCGAACTTTAAAAGTAATTTTACTGCTTATCCCCCAAGATTTACTTCTCTCTCTCTCTTTCTAAAACTAAAGCTAAAACTCTCTCTCTCTATAAGATTCCCAATTGGATCTTCCTCCTCCGTATAATTCTTCGCGGGTACTTATACCATAAGCAGTGGTGTATGGTAATCCACCATCTGCTCTTAGTACGGACGTCTAAGATGAAAAGTAATTCCATTAATGACAATAAAGGAGGTTGCTCCCAATGTTACCATACAGTCATACACAACACTTAATGTTGGCTTAATTTTCTTTAGAGTAATTTGATGCACATTTTTTCTTTTTTTGGATAGATCAGTGGGTAAGTCGGGATTACAAGCTCTTACCCATTTTTAGAAATGGTAAGTGGTTTTCGAATGAAAGTCTAAACTGTTACGTGAAACTCACATGGTGCTGCCATCACGACCCAACCCCAATTCCACTTTTGATGTACAAATTCGTTTATTCACTTGTGATATGTATTTTTACCATCCAAATCAGTGTTTAAAAAATTGCCGATTGGATTCCGAATCACCCTAATGGAACTGGATGTATAGGCGGTCACCTTGTCCAATTCCTCTCTACATCGGGACTAAACAGACATAGTACGATTTGAAGTTTGTGCAATTTAGAACTCTTTAAAATTCGCTTACATTTTTTTCCGCTTTAGCTTGTAACTCACTAACTTGGCTAGTTCGACTTGGACCAATGGGTGACTAGTTCAACCCATAGGTCCCAGGTTTTAAACATTTGTGGATCGTTTGGGACCTAATATTTCGTACAATTCATTTATGCATCAAATACTGGGTATGCAGATTCTATTATATGTAAATTGAGGATTTACAAACAAGGCCATTGCATTACTTTTGGATGAACCCAGAAAATAAAAAGTTCTATGATTGGCTCATCTTAATGGAAAATCAAGTTATGACAGTTTATTGTTAAACTGTTTTAACAGTCCATTATAACATTTGTTGATTACATACTGGTATCTCTCAAATTAAATCAGTTCCTTGGAAATATGTTATCTATAACATGAGAAACAAATTCCTATTTTGTAAAAAGAAATATGCATATAATTTGGCGGCACTATCCAACAAAGGTAATGTCCTATAGCAATTAAAAATAAGATAAAATAAAACCTATAAAATACTTTTTTTTGTTTTTGTTTTTGGGGTTTCTTCTATTAAAACAATCTTACCAGTATCAAAGAAAAAAACCGTACTCCTTGCGCTCTGGCTCACCGGGATTTCCACCCAAGGCATTTGGACCATCCATCACTGGCTCATGGAGAGCCCTATGTTCTCGATGCATAACATTACTCGCTATTTCTTAATTGGAAAGTATGGCATGCACATCGTGTGCATTGGATAATATACATAGGTGGGATATCTACCATCGGTTCTCAAAGATGAAGGGCAGAGACGAACTCAGATCTGGTGGTAGACATTGACTCGTATTTACTGATCATCTTCACCATCCATCTTGAGAATGGATGGAAGATACCCCATCCCCGTCTTTATGGTTTGCTTTTGAAAACGCCTTTCTATTTTAATATATTTTTGAGTAAAAAATTGAGGTTAAAAATATTCAGCTTAATAAAAATTCTACGTCTCTTCCCAGACTTGACTTCTGATCAAATTGAAATGATACAAAGAAAAGGTGTTATATCCTATTTGATATACACATATCGGACATGGTCCAAAATTCTATTCCTTAAATCTTCAGAATAGTGCCATTCCCATTCAGTTAAAGACGTGAAGGATTTGAACTCTTTAAGTTTGAGCAAACAGCCCAAAAATGACAACTTACCCTACAATTAAAGGAATTAGACCTTCGCTTGATTGGTTATAAAAAAGTTAATATAAGGTTGCAACCTTAAAATGTAGAATTAAGATGCACGTCAAAAATCTATTGGAAAAAGTTGTTCCAATGTTGAAAAACCCTGTAACTAATCATCTTGACATTGAGATGTATGGATATGTGAAAAAATAAAGATTTTGAATCCTAAAAATAGTGCATCTTGCAACATATTATCTAGACCATCGCTTTTCACTTGATTTGAACCAATTTTGAAGTAAAATTTCATAATTAGATATCAAAATGGATTATAAGGTCATCCTAAGAATTTTTTACTCTAAAATTACATCTTATGATAAAATTTGGAGGAGTACCTTATTTATAATGTTTAATATCGCAACCTTATACAAACCACACCCTTTATGTATATAAAATTGTGATACTCTACAGCATCCACTCTATTTGGACGTTGTACATTTGATACATCTTTTAAGTCAGTGTCAATACAATGCATGACTTTTAAGAAATAAAATGGATTGTATAGATTACTGCCAGTCTTCCATTCCATGAACCAGCCTCTAAACAAGGCCATGGCCCGGGACTGAGTAACTAACCCTAACTAGGCAAGTCCTGACCGGGATAAAAAGTGTTAAACATAATATATAAAAAATATATCAACAAATCTCAAAAATATGAAAAGTATGTTTGAAGTATAATTAAATAAAATTCAGAAGTATAATTAAATAAAATTCATCCAAATAAGATTAAAAAATAACGAAAAAAAATGAATTTTGCAAAATCAAGTTGTGCCTCGGGGTATTTTAGAAATAAAAAAAGAGACGGGAAATATAAAATTAAGTATTTATGGCCAAAATATTATCCAAGATTCTTTCAAAACAATAAAAATAAATAAAAAAACCAATTTCAAACCAATTCCTTATTTTTTTGGATTTTTTCTACTTTTTTATTTTATTTTTTGAAGTTAGGGTGGTCATAACCGGCCAAAACCGGTGATGGCTAGTGGCCGATCTTGAGTAACCCGGTTAGGTCTGAGTCGACCCAATCGATTTTTCAAGATTACTGCGACTTTATTTCTACAAATAAGGTTGCAACTTTATATAAACTTTTTATTTCTAAATACCACTAAAAACTTAAACAAATTAACAATCAATCAGAAAACAAATCAAATCTATAAATTTCAATGTTTTATGAATCATATTTTCTTCCTTTTCTAATGAGATACTCATTTATGATTTTTTGGAAGGCCAATGTGGTCAAACCTCACATGATGGATATACACAAGCTAATTAGAAACAAAAAAATTTGAATGGTGAAATTCAATAGAAGAACGGTCAATTTCAAAAGAAGAACTCGTGGAACTAAGGCTCCTAGAAAAACTTCCAAATGTGGCCTTCTCCAACTTTAACCCTCATCCTCATCAAGCCTGCAAAGGTTTTAGAATGAATTATGAGGGTCAATTACCAAATGAGCAATCATTTGGCCAAAAATTACAAGCACATCCTTTCTCTATTTACGAACAGACTGGAGAATCTGTTTAAAGTAACTTAAGAATTTGTTGTTGGTAAGTGTTTAAAATACGAGACTGCTATTTAGTTTTTTCAAAAACCTTCGGGGTTCATTTCTTCCCTCTTCCCAATAGATATTCTCTTCTATCCCTATTTCGTGCCAAGCTTCTGTTTCTCCTCAAAACTCATCTCTCTTCTGTAATCATGTAACCCCATTCCCACTGCATCAACACGGACATTGAAGACCCATCCATGTTTATGCTTAAGAGCTTGGTCAAGATTTGGCCACACCTATTCAGGAAATTTGAGACCAATTTTCCAGTTACTGGATCAGGGGAAATGGCCATTTTTTTACCAGATTCAGGAACCTTGGCGACTGGATTTGACCTCTTGTGTCGGAATCTTCTCTTTCCCCATAACTAACTCAGAGGCTTTATTATCCTAGTTTCCTTTAGGGGTTCTCCTCTTTTAGGTCATCAGCCTGTAAATCTAGGGTTTGGAGGTGTGCGACCAGTACCAGGGGTCTTTGGTTCCCAAAGATAACGAGACTCGATCTGATCTGATTAGCTAGAGTTCTGACTTGTTCTAGCTCTGAAAAAAGGCATTTTCTTAGGTCCCTCATGTCTTCTTTATAGTAAGAACCGACATTGAAGGTGATGCACTGGTCTGAAAATTTTGCAGCGGCCTGTATTTGAGGTTCCCTCCTAATGGATTTGCAATTGAGGGAGGAGGAATCTGAGGCGGCGGCTAAAGTTGCCGGTACAGGTTCATTGCCACCATGGGGGAGCTAATTAGAGCAACATTTGCTTG